AAAGATATTACCTAGCGAGTCATAGCTCTGCAGATTGGCAGAGATCAACTTTTGTAAAGGGTGTCCGTATATGATTTTAGGGTAATGCAGAGGTGGAAGAGGTACAGATCTTTAAGTAAAAGTAGCAATAACTTTGTGTGGTCATCTGTTGCCGAGCTGCAGCGTGATGCATCCAGTGTGTGCCAGGGGCGGCACTTGACACGAGTCACACCAAGCTGCAGTGCCGTCGCTCTGTTTTCAGCTTCTGCAGCTAAATTGTGAACTGCAAAACCCCTTTAGCAGCATTGTTAACTATATTAGCGCCACTAACTGTGCTAACACTGTTAACAATGCTTACAATGCTCACAATTAACCCGCTTACTCACCGGGGCGACCTGGGTAGAGACGGGAGGGTGGGTACCATGTTTCTGCAGCAACGTCATCCTGCCCACCATGAGTCAGGACGGTGTTATTAGCTGTAATCCTCAAATAAGTGGTGCCACTAGCTAACCGGTGTAGCATGAAAACCTTATTAGCTTTGTTCATATTGTGGTACAGTGTAGTGCTAATACTCAGAAACTAAAGCGTAGCAGCACACAATTTACATTTGACTTCAGTGCCTTTCAGGAGGAAATGTTTCCACACCTAGCTTTGTTTAGCGCTTCAATCTTACCTTAGACGCAAATTAATGGAGCCATTAGCGGTGTTTGTGCGTATTAACTTACTGACGAACGTGCATCTAAAGTATTGTTGGTGGTTAACCGATTAGCAGTTAACTGCTGACACCCCTAATTGTCAGATCTTTGATGTCAGTGTCTTTGACCTCAACAGGAGTTTGCCTGTTAGCAATCTGGAAATCCATCGGTAAAAAACAAACAAATAAAAAAAACCCTTTTTTTTCTCCTTCCTTTACCTCTGGAGGCACAGCCCGGAGTTTTTCGACTAACGGAAGTGCAGGGGCCTCGGCGATCGCTCACGCCCTTCACTTCCGGCAGTGCCCCCAGGGAATCGCCGTGTTGTTTACAAATACTTCGGGTAGAAAACCAGCAGAGTTTAGCTATATATCACATTTTTCACGTCACTATATCACCGTGTAGACTAATCTGATGTTTGTTAAGTCTATAAACACAATGATTGAACAAATGTTACTATTTCTGTGTGCACGTTTTGTAATTAATAACATGGTTATTGTAGATTAGCTGGGCTAACCGTTAGCTGTTTACGTTAGCCGTTAGCCGTGTCTGTAATAACCATAGACTGTATAAAAATAAGGTAATAACTCAATAAACGGTCCGTGAATAAAATATTTTTTCCAGCAGATATCTTAGTTACAACATGATTGAGCTAGCAAAGCAGTTTTGTGTTGCTATGTGTGGTATTTATTCAGTTATGGGAAATCACGATGTCTAGAAAGCATCAGTGGCTGCAGCTGACAGGGACAGTTAGCAAAGCTAACATCAGGACGTCATCTGTTAAAAGCCTCCCGTTGTCGGATACAACATGAAACTACTCCAGTTAGCTCAATCATGTTGTAACTCAGACATCCGCTGGAAAAAATAGTTTTTTCACGTTGACGAGATGGCGTTTTGGGTGGAGTGGTCGCTATGGACGTGGAGCTTGCTGTTTCTGTAGGTACACATTTCCTGGGGACACCTGCACGTCTTGGCCACGCCCCCTCCATTGTGATTGGCTAAAGCGCAGCATATTCAAACTCAAAGCCCCGCCCTCCCCCCCCCCCCAGTCGTCTTTCACACAGGGCTGCTGACAGATTCTACAATGTAAATTGCAGGATCTGTCTTGAGAGATTAGCCTGTTAGTAATGAAAGTAATGAAAATGAAAGCTTACGTCAAGTACAAGTACCCTAAAAGAACATTTCCCTTTCTTCCAAGAATACATCACATTCATTTATATAATCAGAGACAGAATCTGACCTGAATCTAACATACTGATTAATCAAAACTGCATATAACACAGTTTAAAAATCACATACATATATTTCACTTCACCATAAACGTGTAAAACCTACAGCTTGTTTACAGTAAAGATGCCCCACAGTTTCCTGTTCCCCAGTGAAAGTGAAGAGGAAGCGATAATGGATATGACGCTGGACCGTATTTCACAAGTCAGTCAGGGCGTCTTCCGGGACAACGTTCTGTGAGCAGACTGGATTCTGCTCAGACCTGCATGAGGCTGCTACAGTGACGCTATGCTGTGCGTGGGAGAACAGAGCAGCCCTAGAGTGATAATTAGTCCGGTCTCTCGTTGGGCAGCCGATTCGCACATCAGCATTGGCTGTCTTCTTCTTCTTCTTTTTTTTTTTTCTTTGTTCCTCAGTATCTTCTTTTTTTTCCTCACTCCCAACTTGGCTGCCTCCATCTCTCCTTCTGTGCTTCTCTCTGTCTTAATTAGCCTCAATTCTCTTGACTTTGATTGGATTCTATTTGATTAAATTCAGCTGAATTCAATTCAAGGTTTAGCAGAGACCACACAGTATCACAGGCTAACACAAAAATAACAGCACAGAAAGTTTGTCCGTCTCTCTTCCCTCTCCTTCCCAATTCTCTTTCCACCAGCCATGATGAGCTGCAGTGAAACTGAATAATTCACAACTGCAGCAGCACAACTCAGGAAGACTGAAGCTGTCAGTGATAGACAGAAAACAGTCAGCCAGTTTGTTTCTGAAAATGCACATCTCAAGTACCTGTGCATCTGTTCACTGGCACTGCTGAGCCCACTGTGGATACTAATGCTGTGTTTGTATTTCAAACAGTGTGTCGTCCAACAGACTGAAGAATGTGCTTCGTTTTCAAGCGACTTCCAGGCAGGTCTGCCACACAGTACACATTATCCTCATGATGTTCTTCTACAGTGTCGGGCAGTAACAGGTTACAGTAATAATATCATTTTTTCCAGTAATGAGTAGTGTAACTAATTACTAATGAAATACCAGTAATAATATTACAGTTACACCTCGCTACATTGTTACTTTTGTTATCACGTCACTACTGACTTGAAATACAACAATCACATCAGCGGACTCATTTTAGTAATAGTAACTAGTTGGAAACTCTTACTGTAGCAGCTGGAAATATTCCCATTTCTTTGATTCTGTCAGGAGGAAAGACGACAAGAACACTGCTGCTACAGGTAGTCGGACTAAAAGTCTTTCCACTGCGAAAAACATGTCCTCAAACCTTCAGTCTGAAACACCTCGGCTACTACGACCAACAACACAACAACATGAAGCTCCAGGAAATACACCCCTCCAAAAGTGAGCCCTCCTCGGCTGCAGAGGGTGGCTGTAGCCCTGCACTGGCTAAACAACCAAAAATTGAGCATAGCGTTAGTTCAGGCAGGACACGATGTCAAGCTCAGCTCACATCCCAGCTACATCAGCTGAACTCATACAGTCAATGAACTGATGGAGCAGCTGATTGATGAAGGGAGTCAGCTGATAGATCACATGATTCCTTTCTATGCAACCAATTGGTGAATCTCATTCAGGGCGCCCTATTTAAACTGCTCTGGCCTACCTGTTGCTGCTTCCTCTGCAACCTGCCTCCACCCCAGCTCCTCCTTTTCATGCTGTGTCTGACTTATCAGTGTCATTTCTATTTGTCTTTGCTGCTGCTCTCCCTGCCTTAGGCTTTCCATGTAGGCGCATGGAAGGGCAGGGAGGTTTGCTCTCTCTGCCTTAAGGCTTTCCTTATTTGCACGTGGAAGAGGCTTTCTGCGTAGGCCAGAGGAAAGACAGAGAGGCCCCAGAACAGAGCCATATCACAAAATATAATACTGCAAATGGAAATAAAGTTTTCTTTGACTTAAGTGGTCCTGACTGAACTGAATTTTGTGAACTCTGTGTGTAGGATACAAAGAAGTAATGAAGCTTGTGGTTGGATATGTGGTGAATAAAATGTTGCTCCACAAGTGTCTCTCCATCTTTCAGGCAGAGCCTTGGGGAAATACCTGTCACAGGCTACGGTAAACTTCCAGGTAAATAGAAGCTATCTAGCCTCAGCTACACTTAACAGCGATTACCCTGACACTCACACAGAGGCACAGATCTGAATTTTGAGAAGATACGCAATTACAAATTTTAAGGGGTGTAACGGAAAAGTAATATAACGAGTAGTGTAACAAATTACTGTTGGCAGGAAGTAATAAGTAAAATAATATTATTACTTTATAAAAGAGCATACATTTTTAGAGTAAAGAGCCCAATCCTGTTCTTCTGACAGCAGTTAACATGTTGTGGTCCTGTCTGGTTCTGCGGGCCAAGGTCTTCTTAAAATATTGACAATATAAAATCAAAAGAAGCTGTTTGTTGAGTGAAAAACAAAGAAAAGGAATCACACAGCAGATGTACACTGCTTTGGGGGAAACTGAGTAAAGCAAAGCATGAATCGTGTTTGTCCAGCTCGGTTTGGTCTTGTGACCTGAACCTCTGAGGCTCTAATGTCATGATGATCTCTGATGCACAGTAACAGCAAGTCAGCCTGTGCACGAGTCCAGAATAGACCTGACTCAAGCAATAAAGGTCATGAGGATGAGACGATTAGTCAGTTGATTAATATTTACTCAAACTGGCAAAGAAGCAAAGCAAGCTGATTTCAAGCTGTCTCCTGATGACTGAATGAGTTCACTTCCTACTGGTCCGATTACACCTATCACACATCATCATGGTGATCATTGTAATGATTGCTGATACCAGAGTCAACTTTTAATATCTATCAGTGTTGATGAACATGTGTCATTATGCGGCAGCACAAACCGGTGCAGGAGATAATTTAAGAGTATTTGTGAGTTAGCTGAAGGATAACATTACCAGCTGTAGCTGTAATTCCTCCACCTGTGCAAACACATGTGTGAGCAGCAGATTAAAGTGAATCTGGCTCTCCTGTGTCTCCCCGCCATGTTCTCCTTTCTGTCTTCCAAACATGGAAACATTAAAATACAGCAGCAGCACACTGATCACTGAGAGAAAAAAACCCAAACATCAGAGTTAGTACACAGCACTCACCGCTGTACGTGACAATCCGGATAGTGGAGTCACCCTCTCCGAAACGTGTGATGGGGGTGAGGCGCACCTCGTAGGATTCAGGCTTTATGAGCTCAGTCAGGTTGTGTGTCATGAGCTCTCCTTTGTTGATTGGTCCGTCCACAGGGATCTCCTGCTCCCACCAGCGCTGCAGCCCCATCTGGATGGAAAGAGGAACCACAAGAGTATTTAAAACCTCTAGACGCTCAGAAGTTCTGTACCTACAGGGACGTTTTATACATAATTGGCCTTAACAAAGCACTTGGGACATCTACCACAGTCTGCTCCATAGGACACTTTCAGCAATAGGTTTAAATCCATCAGACTAGAGGGCGTGGTGAGGATGAAGTCAGCAAGGGGGAAAACAGTCCATTATATTAGTGCTAGCGTCAAGCGACGCCATTACCTTTTGTTTTGACGATGTGCTGTAATGTTATCTTGAGGGATTCACAACCTTAAGAACTACAGTTCCTCGGAGGCTCACAACTCTTTACCTTTCTTCACCAGTGGCTAAACAATCGGACACTGTTAAGATAAAGTGTTTCATCCTTTTTGTTGAACCAGAAACAGCCCCAAAATCACTATCGTCAAACCCGCCAGACTCCATTTAAATAAACAGTAATTTTAGTGTGTTTACAACCAGAGTAATTTCAAATCTAACTGAGTGAATTAATGGTTTATTTCAACCAAACCACAGTTGGTGGTTGTTGAAACAGTGGAAAGATGAACCAAAATGGTGCCTGTGAGTTTTATTTTGTTTCTGTTGACTTTGATTTAAGTGGGTTTTACAATGATAAAATTACTGTTTAATTAGATGGAGTCTGGCAGGTTTGAATTTTGGAGCGGTTTCTGGCTGAACAAAAAGGATCTTACTCTCAAACAAAAAGGTATATCTCTGTCCTGATCCTTTTCACAATGTTGTCAGACAATTATAACAACAATTTGAGCCTGGCAGTGGCAAAAACCTGCTCATGTGCCACTAATACCTGACCAAATTCAAAACGTGTTGATCCAAATAGTCAGTTAGACACAAAAACATGTGAAAAAGGGTCCAAGTTGAAAAGGATCCTTTAATTCTCGATTTTTGATTTGATTTGACGTGCAGACAGCCACACAGCAACTTTTCAGCATGGCAATGAATTCCTTCTTTCCCCCCCTTGGTGTAAAAAGATGTGACATTTTGAGGGCGTCCCTGTTAATACTGACTGTGTCTATAACCTCTAACCTCTAACCTTAGTGGTTCCAGGTCCAGATTTCTCCTTAGTCATTAGTTCAAGATACACACATTTTAAAATGTTCAGTGTCACACTTGTGTTGGCCAAGTCATTCTAGCTAGTTTGGTGTCTCTGTTTTTTGCTCACTCTACAGCAGGAAACGCCACTTAAAAACAACTCTGCGCCAGATGTTCACTGTACTTCAAAATAAAGTGTGGTTTTTTACAAACTTGACACATTCGTGGGTCACTTGTGGTCCATTCAGAGAGGACCCACGACCCACTTTTGGACTGCGACGCACCAGTTGGGAACCACTGCTCTAATTCAACCAATAACATGTGGAGTCCCACAGGGAAGTGTTTTTGGCCCCCTACTGTTTTCTTATATGTGAATGGCTCGTGGGTTTTTTCATAAGAATGAGAACACTCTAAAGATAATATTAAGTGAGGAACTCAGTAAAATTTATAATTAACTTGTAGGCAGCAACAGTTGTCTTCTTTATTTGGATTAAATTAAGTTGGACAAGTATTGTCCTGGACAGTCTCTTTTAATCTGCCAAACCTTCTATTAGAGACAACTGGTTTTTGGCTAGAAAAGCTGATTTAATTAACAAAGGAAGACTCTCGGCTAATTCCTTTGTTTTAAGTTGCTTTGATTAGTTACTCTGTTCATGGTTCGAAGGTCCGGGAAGCGCCTCAAGTTAATTACAGATCTTTCAGCACAAGTTAGACAGTGTTGGGGTTGGACCCGAGGGAACACGTTGGCAAACAGTACTTCCAACAGCAAGAGCGGTCACCCTTGAAGAATAAAGTTGTAAAACTTGAACACAGTGAGGTACATAACATTTATGAGTATCTCAGAGACTGTCTGTGTAGAGTTAGGGGAACTCGTGCCCACCAGAGATTTAATACCCACTCCTTTAGGAACCTTTGCACAGTAATAGAAAAATTAAACCACCACAATTTAAAAGCAGCTTTAATCAATATTTGGCACTATGGATTTTGTAGTACCACCACATACGGAGAGCATTCAGAGTACAAAAGACTATCTTCTGAAGACTTTGCTCCTGGGAACATTTTGCATACATGACCACATGCAACACATATTCCCTCACCATCAGTGTAGGATGTTCTCACTCATCTGCCAATTAACCCTGTCTATAGGCGTTTGTACCATCCGCCAACATAACATGCTACACAACAAGATATTTTTTGTCTGTAAGCTGTTGACAGATAGCTGCTCATTAGCTACATTTACTTTCAAAGCAGCTGCAGGCCTCTGAATTCAAATGCTGCTATGAACAAGCAGCAGGAACATTCCTATATTTGCAGAGAGGAGAAAAATCCTGATTCCTCCTATTAAAGATATGCCTCAGTCTGCATTATACAGGCGCGTACAGTAAGGACAACACCTTTGTGCTTTGTACATGATTGCCTCATTCTTTAAAAGTTTGTCTTTAATCATGCTCCACAATGTTTTGCTATCCCCTTTTACAGGGGGACCTTGAACTGACAGGAATTTTATATCTCGTCTTTGCACAATGCAGAGCACATAAGCGTACCTGTCTTGAGGTGACTAAGCTCAGGTATCACACAAAAAATTAGCTGGCGCTTTTCATGTCTTGTGATACAATACGGCCCTGTCGGAAAATTCAAAGAAACAAAACGAGGGTTTGTTGCTGCATTTGCTGGGGGGCAAAGAGAAGAGAAGTAGGGTACATTTTATCCTTGAGAATCAGTTTAAGGGGAAGAGCGGCACAAAGACAAGTTACAGGTTCTGCATCACAATTAGTGACTTTACATGCCCTTCTCAGTCAAAGGAAAAGACAAAGTGTGTTACTAGCAGAGAGAGACAGAGATAGAGTGAATGAAGGTGTGATAGCAGTGGAGCAGAGTCAGTGTGTGTGTGTGTGTGTGTGTGTGTGTGTGTGAGAACAATACCAATTAAGTAATTACTTAGAGCCTGGATGATCCACAATTATGGGGTGCAAGTTTTCCCCACCATTAGTTTGCAGGTAAATAGAGTGTTTTTCCTGCCACTGGTAATTGCAGATGGAGCACTTGTCCCTACCTATCCTTTGAAAATTTTAGCTTTCCACTAAGTACAAAAGCCATGGCACTTAATTGCCATAAATTACACAGTGTTGGCCTCTACATCCATGTGTGTGTGTGTGTGTGTGTGTGTGTGTGTCTGAACGCTCTAAAGGGAGGATGTATCATTTCAAGCCCATTTGATATTTTCAATAAAAGTAAAAACAACCCGTCTATACAAATGGCAACAAAAAAATAGTCAATATGCTGTTTCTGACTAGAGACACACAGATGGATTAAAAATTATACATCATCATGTTTTGCTCATATTTGGTGGTGCGGGATTTTTTAGGGCCGATGCCGATACCGATTTTTTTCCATCACCCTTAGCCAATGACCGATTATGGACTGCAGATTTTCTTGAGCCGATATTTGGGGCTGATACTGCTTTTGCTCCTTCAATTTACATCAAAAAAATGACACAATGATAACAAATATTACAGGTCTCAAGTTTAAAATAAGAAACATTTATTGAACAGTAAAAAATACTAAAACAAGATGGAAAGTTGAGGTAGAACAGGTAGAATGTTATTATTATTATTATTATACATTCAAATAAAAAAAAGAGTTCAGTGCTCTTAAATCTTCCAGTAATGTCTTTATAAAACAAACAAATATTTAAGCTGAAGCATAAATAAAACAACAACTACTGTACACAGTAGGATTCGCTGCATGTGCACTGCAGGGTCTTCCGGCAACACAGAGCTGCCCGTGGATGCCTGTCTGTAAATCATGCCAGGGAAAAATAAATCCGCAAACCAACGAGCATATCGGCCGATGCCGATACAAGTAAAAAACTCAAATATCGGCCCGATATATCGGCCGGCCGATGTATCGGTCTATCCTCAGTGTGGGTAGTCTGTGGGTTGATGCTGAGGGGTTTGCACATGCCAAAGAGAAGGGCTACTTTCCTGCATCTGCAGCAATATGCAGTTGCAAGTTATACTGTATGTTAGCAGTGCTGCTAATCCATATGTGTGTATCTGTATCAGTCTGTAGATCATGAGCTGTTCTGTACATGGGAACCAGTGTCTAGAATGCACCTTTCCTAAATGTTTTTGAAGCTGCAGTTGGTAACTTTTACAAAGATATGCCAAGTCTACTTATACCTGGTCAGCCTACCCTGCTCTGTTTGACTCAGGCTGAATCCAAATGTCCAGACTTAACCGCACTTACAGGCTCGTGGACTTCACAGGCGCGTTAACTGGAAGTCTGGGAGTACTTAGGGATGTCCAAATCCACAATTCAACCAGTCCACAAGGTGCCTCAAGTTGACTTTCTGCAGACTTGCAGAGAGTCCGCTTGGGGTGCAGACTTAAGCACGTCATTGATTTAATAACCCACAATTCATTGCAATACAGACATGATGTGGGTTTTTCAACTGTAAAATAGTTATTGATAGTTAGGCCAATTAAAATGCTACTTGAATAAGGCCAGAAATAATATTCAACCTCATCATGATTCAGAGATATGTAGAAGTATAGACTGTAGAGGGACTGAAATACATTTTATTACTGCGGCCTATCAGGCTCTGCACTGAAATAGACTGGAAAAAAAAGGTTGAAAAACAACAAAAGAAGGTCTTTTAATGTAAGTAAATACCTAATTTATTGAGTTATAGCCCCGTCCTTATTTACAAACCTTTATACTCTGTTATATAGAGATGTATTAATAGCCTTCATTTTTCTTCAGTCACAAAAAAGGCTATACATGGGATTTATATCTTGTTATCTGCAGGAACAGATGAGTTCAGCACTGTTCATCAACTTATATGATAAATATGAAGGCAGCGACAGTTGAACGTTTCCACGGCCACGGGTAAAACAGTCTCAAGGGCTGTCTATCAGCTGCTCGCA